ACGGGACCCCATGCACCACCCTTCCCGAGGCGCATGTGCATGGATGAGTCTTAAATCTCGGATGGTTACCGTGTCTTGTGGGCGCAGAGCCATCCATGCTTGTTGATGAACATCTCGAACAACAACATACTAACAAGTGATTAAGACTCGGGTGGTTACCATCCCAGCTGTGCAAATGCAGGTTGGCACGTGGCGGCGCAAATTGCGAGCTCGTCTGCACGACGCACAAAGGGGTGCATGCGGGTTTGTGCGGCAAGTTCACATACACGGGCGCAAAGCACGGCTTGCTTTGCACATCTGCGTATGCAGAGCAATGAAAGCATGGTCAAACGTTATGTGACAGCCTAGGCTGCTGTTGTAATGGGGGCTTACGCAGCGTCCACTTCCACAAAAAGCCCTCGGGCCCTTCCGTGCTCGTTAAACCACCGCACGCAGTCCTGAACAATAGCTGCATGGTCAAACGCGAACTTGACTTTATCATCAAGTGTTGCTTGTTGAAAGGGAAACCACTTGGCGTCGCCAGCATCATCGTCGCTCTGAAAGTGTGAGCGGAGTGCATCACCCTCAACAGGTATGGCCGGCAAAGACACCAACCGCAGTTTGTGATTGCATTCTAAGCTGCCATCACGTACAACATGTAACCGTACTCACATGAACCCAATACTCCCTTTGACCTATACAACAGTCGCTGTTTCATCTTAATGTCCAATCAACACGGGTGTTGTGGGACTCCCGTGAGCAGGAGCCAAGGAACATTGGAGGCCTTGCATGGTCGATGCAGCAACATGCACTCCAGCGGTGAAATGGGGTCTGTCCCAGCCCAATGCTGCCCCAAAGTGCAAGCTTGCCTGAAGTTTGTCTAGAGAATCCCCTCGAATCTTGACCACGTAGCTGACACTCAGCGAATGTGCTCGTGGGTCGCGCGTAGGGCTCCCCTTGAATGCCACAAAGGCAGGCGCCACCTGCGAGCATCAGAGACGGCGTGTGGGATGGATTCGGATTAGGATTGTTACACGATCCCGCGGTCGCCCGCTCCTGGGATGCAAAGTGGGTTTGGCGGGGGGGGGGGG